ATAATAATAATAATAATAATAATAATAATAATAATGTGTCAGCTGTACGCCGTAACGGCGCTTTGCTGCCAGCACGGCCACCACCAGTCGCGCGCGGGCTGAGCATACCACGAGGACGCCCACCCCTACGCGGATTCGAACCGGTGACCTTATGGTTGCAAAGCAAACGTGCAGACCACTCGGCCACCGGCCGACAGTCAACACAAACAGGATTTGTCGATTGTAAGTGGAAGTTGGTCAACCAATATGGTCGGTGCATTGATGTCAAGGTTGACGGTGTAGACTCAGATGCACAGCTAGCATTTGCAAGAATGACTGCAACTGCCAAAAAGCATGTCAGAAAATGATGATATTAAGCTTGCTGGAAAGCTTTGAATGTGTGTGTTCGAAGAAGAGCAACTATTCTGACATGTGCTCGGAAAGTATGGTGGTTTGGCGCATGAGTTTCAGACTAATCTCCACCTATATAGATGAAATGATCTAGGTGATGAGACGAGGAAATAATTTCTACGCTTAGCGATCCACTAGATAGTGCTGCTAATTCCAGGTCGAATGAGTACAAGTAGGTTCTTTTGCGTTAAGATGGGCAGCAGAATCCAGTAGAGAGGGACCACCAACGTAGTGCAGTTGCATAGTGTGTCACTTGCCTTCGTGATGCCAAGCATCTTTTATACCCTATATAAATTTGAGCACTATTTAGTCTCAACGACTTCACATTGATCACTTCATTTTCACATATTCCGCCGTTTAGATATGTTCATTTCTCTGTGCGTTATGTTCGTTTCAATCCACGTCTGCTTTATTTACCTTGTCATGTTTGGGCGCGTCAGTTCTCGTCTGTCTATCTGGAAAAACGATTACCGTCAACTAGCGTGGGTGACATCTTATTTGTTTTCTCTCGCTACCTGTCGCCACCGTTTGCTTGCTTGGCTGGTCGCTATCCTGTATCGCTAGTGTGGGATCACAGTTGCGCATGCTTTGTCCGCCAGCGGCTGTTCCAGCCAGTCCTCTTTGCTGTTGCCGGTGACAAAAACTGCTTTGTCCTATCAAGGCTGAATTGATCCTGATTTCTCTCTTCGGCTCGTCAACATGGGATTCGTTTGCGCCGTCACTGATTACCTAGTCTCCTGTTTGCCTACTCCGTTTGGTCACCTTTACTCAATCCATCATTTATTATCACAAATTTTGCATTTTTCTGCAGCGAGTGCTATTCTCCAGAGACCCCACCGAAATTCTAGTGATAGCTAATTCTGCATGTTGTAGGGTTTCGCACTAATCAATCTTGTTGAATGAGTATACGATTTTTGTTATCTGCATATGAAGATAGTGTTATCTTTGCTTTTTCAGTCCTTTCATTTATACCATTTTCACTTTAAATTGGACATTTTTCAAACCACATTGGACATTTTGCAAACCACATTGGACATTTTGCAAACCACATTGGACATTTTGCAAACCAAATGGGACATTTTCCAAACCACATTGGATATTTTGCAAACCACATTGGACATTTTGCAAAATAAATTGGACACGTTGCAATCTAAGTAGCAACTCGCCAATTTGTTGGTAAGAAACGAGCAGTAAGACTGCTGAATGATGTTCAGAATATACATTGTGATGACGCTAATACACCGGCATTGTGTAAGCAGCGGGCTACACTGCAAAACATTTCCTTGATCGTGAGCAGCGACCGAAGTTCTGAACTACGCTCCCCTCTCCCCATTGACATTCGCCTAGTTGGTGTGCAGTGCTCATACGCATCAACCTGTGTAGGTGTGTGACAATTGGAAAATCGGACTTCCGAATCGTAATTGTGTATCAATCATTTTATGAGTGGATTGCGATGCGCAATCTCAATGTGCACCATTATTCTCATTAGAGGGAACCTTGTCTGATTCGGTCAATGGGACCATGTCGGATGAAGCAGGTAGGCGGTGTCCCAGCTTCGCCCGTCTCTCTATTAGCTTTCGCAACTGCCACGTTATTGTATCAGCGTAAGCTCTAATGACCCCCAGCAAAACCAGTCTAGATCTATAGCCTATTGTTGCAACATATCAACTACTGAGGAGTGGGCCGATTACACGATGTTCAGGCCACATTGTGGTCACGATAATGTAACCGAACTGCGTACTTAGCGGGTGATTGTGTAAGCCATTCTCTTGACATGAGTGCCGTTCGCCTCGGTCAAAATCGGTGACCTATTTTCCCCTATACCCCCCATAGGAATTCGCGTGTTTTGTCTGGGTGTGTGGACCGACCTATGCAGCAGTACCACTATTGGAGCGGAACATGCGATAATGGTTCCACTCAACACAACTTAGCTTTATTAGCTCCGCGCCGCACGAAACGACCAAAATGAGTGACGAACAACAGGAGAGCTGGTGTCCGACGCGACGACGCTGCAGGCGAACATCATTTGCGCTAAGAGAAATTCTCACAAACTTGTGCTGGTCGACGGCAAAACTACTCGGGAAGCCGCTGAAGTCGCCGGTGTTAACGCGAGTACGGCAAGGAACATCATTAATGCCTACAAGCGAGAAGGCTCAAATACACAGCGCACCTGCGGTGGAAACAATAGGGAGAAGCTTACTCCCAATGTGTTGCAGCGCGTCGAAGAAGCGGTTGAACGGCACTCTGTGGACACGTTGGTGCAGCTGCAGATGCGCCTGAGAGAGAATGGGATAAGCCTATCAGTATCCTCTGTCTTCAGCACCCTCGGAAGACTAAAGATAACTCTCAAAAAGTGCCATTACGAGCTCGACCGAGTCAACAGTGCCACGACAATCGCTAGCCGACAGGCGTACGCTCTCGAATTCTCGGCACATGCACCTTCTAACAACGAGAAATGCATCTTCATTGATGAGAGTGGTTTCAACCTTCATCTTAGGCGAACTCAGGCTCGCTCAAGAAGAGGGACGCGCGCGAACCTCGTGTTATCCACAGTCAGAGGTCGCATGGTAACCCTGATTGTTGCAATGAATAACCAAGGCGTCATCCATTCAAAGATCATTAACGATGGCACCTGCAATGGTGCGAAGTTCTCAGTGTTCGTCGAGGAACTGGTGGCGCGTATAAGCTGCATAGCGGAGATGAACGGCGCGTGGCTGATCATGGACAATGCCAGGATTCATATGCCTGATGAGCTAAGGAGGATACTTGGTTCGTCTTATCACCTGCAGTTCTTGCCGCCCTACTCGTACATGCTAAACCCGGTAGAACACGTCTTTTCAAAGGTGAAAGCGTCGGCGAGACGCCTGCTTATTAACCCCACACCTGAGCAGACGCTGAGCACGGTCATTCAGGACAGTGTTGGGATGGTAACGCAGCAGGACTGCATGAACTGCGTTCTCAATACGATGATGAACCTGATGAAAGCGACAGCCGGACAACCCTTCGTCAACTGATCTTTGCTTACACAATGCCGGTGTAGTAGCGTCATCACAATGTATATTCTGAACATCATTCAGCAGTCTTACTGCTCGTTTCTTACCAACAAATTGGCGAGTTGCTACTTAGATTGCAAAGTGTCCAATTTGTTTTGCAAAATGTCCAATATGTCTTGCAAATTGTCCAAAGTTGTTTGCAAAATGTCCCATTTGGTTTGCAAAATGTCCAATGTGGTTTGGAAAATGTCCCATTTGGTTTGCAGTGTCCAATTTGGTTTGCAAAATGTCCAATGTGGTTTGAAAAATGTCCAATTTAAAGTGAAAATGGTATATCTCAATGAGAAAAAGACGGGGACCAAACACACTACATTAGAATGCCTCATTGGTGATTGCTTTTTATTCTGAGAAATTATTGTTTCTTATTACTTGCCATAGATCAGACAAATGTGAATCTAACCATACTAACAAGTGGCTTCTAACGCCAACAACTCGGATTTAAGCCAGTATTTTTGTATGCCGCACTCCTTCAACGGCTTTGCTCTTGTCCAGCGGTACCAACTGCCTGTCCACAATTTTGTGAATATCTGCTTGTCGAACAAACGACAACATTTAACAGCAAAGACCTTTCGGTGGTTTGCTATGTATTTCCTTGCTTGAAGCAGCAGGGTGGGGGTGTGAACCGCCATAAGCAATTGCTCTCTATCCACCGCTGGAGACATCCCGAAAGCGTTTATGACTCTTCGGTAGAAAATTTTCCCAGCTCCTAGTGCAGAGAAAAACCTGAACAGCCACCCCGAGTCACAGGTATTCAGATCTGTTGCAAGCGGCTTATGACTCACTGAGTACTACTTTTCATGCTCGACACGGAAGAGAAAGGGTCATCGACCGCTACCTAGTTCATAACAAGGGGGACTTTGCTACTGCGCTTGTCTAACCTATGGCCACTGCTCAGTTCGAAGAGAGTGAATCTAAAAACAATCATGAAGTGCTGCTTCTCATATTCCAACGGCTAACGGAACAAGAAACTTGCACATCACGCTTCGGTAAAATCTTATATACATACATCATTTATTTTTATTGCGATTATTTGCGTGCCCACCGAAGGTCGCCGGCCCGCCTTCCTTTTTCTCAACCGTTATTTACTCTACAATGGTCTTTTGCTTTCGGTCGTAGCCACTTATCGAATTACTCTCGGCAGTTGTCCCAGGCAAAGGACAAGTCTCCGATATTTTTATTTTAGCTTTTACATCCACATATATTAACCCTTGCATGTGCCTTGCTACCATCACAGTAGAGATTGATACACTGACCCACAGTCGCGCTCTTCGATTTGGCATCCACCGAATCGGTTGTCTGTCCCCGAATTGCCCGTTTCTCTGCTTATTGCTTCCTTGCTTTCTCGTTCGTGATACCTCGCAACTTATTACGCTAACGAGACGAGTGATCGGTTTACCTTTCAGATAGTCTTACTGCTGCCTTGAAGTGTAACGCGATCCGCGTTACCAATGAAACTCAAATTACACTTCTGTTCACACGTTTCCGCTGATTATTCTGTCTCCGCTAGCCTTGTTGCTTCTCAGACATGATCTTCCTTCCGACCACGACGTAAGATCAATGGAAGACCGTTCTTTTTTCGACCTACTTCCTCAATCGAAGCGTCGTGAAGTAGAGGTAAGTTTTCCGCGATACCTGTTACACTTCTAGGCTTGCTTGGATGTGCTCAACCAGACCGCTCCAAAAATTAATGATTTGGAGAACAACCTACTGGTAGGTTGTCCCTTTCTTTTCTTCACATCCCAAGGAGGCGCGCTCCTTTTTGAACTCCATGTTGATGGAAAAGATGAGCAATCTAAGCTCACTCGGCTGTAGGCTCCGAAAATGTGTAGAAAAGGCTAGACCGTATTATCACTATAAAGAAACCCAACTGGAGTTGATTGAAAAAATCAGACTTGCCTCAGATCGTTATCATAAAGCCAACGAAAGACTGACCGCTTCTCAGGCGGCGTTTTCAAGAATCGAATGTGAGAAGACCACTTACGAGAGTATGGAGGACTCGGCTACTCTGGAGACGATTAATTTATGCATCGCCCAGGTGCGTAAAATTTCTTGCTCATACTGATGCCTTTGTTTTTGCACCAAAATGTAACCTATAGTTATGTGAAATCCACTTACTAGCGGTCCAAACATCCTATGTATGTGCTTTACCCATGTTACTCGACATATTATTCCTCTACCGCATGCCGGACTCGCGTTTTCTCTTTCAGTTACTCATATTGCACTCGCTATCTTTCCGCCGGCTACTTGAAGCATACCCGATTTTTGTTCGCATTGTATCTTCGGACCGTATTCGGCTTGTGCAATATGTCTGCGAGATTTTTGGAAGGTAATACTTATTTGGCTCTGACGATCGCCACAAGTTGCTACTCGGAGATCCAAGCGATTCGGTCATCTTATACACGCGTGTAAAAGTCAGACGTCTGACAGCTGCGTTCCTTCATTGACTGAACATCCTCTTATGCTCAACGGACTGATGGGTTTCGTAACGCAGCTTATCATGAAGAAAAGGAATCTCGATATTTGTTTTCTGCTTTATTCTTCCTCATCTGAAGTTTTCACTACCTTGTATGGGATTATTAGGATTGTGGGTCCTCCACTGCTCCCTTGTGTTGTTGCTAGGACCTATTTGATCTTCAGTTTTGGGATTAACGTGCTCTTGAATCGCATCATTTCGGACTATCCTTGTGCGAAAATCACGAGACAGCCGACTAGTATAATTGAACGGCGTAGATCTTCTGCAATCGGACTCGGCTTTGTGAACAATATTTGACGCGTCATCATCATAGTACACGCTGGCTAGTGGTGAAAATCACCTCAATTCATTTGCCGCAATACAATGCGGCAAGGTATTCGAATAGGGAAAAAATAAAGTATGCAAAATCGAAATACATAATATTCGACTTTTGAATTTTTGTGCATCTTCGGAGAGACCTTGTCTGGAGGGGAAAATTAAGCAGGGGGATCAACAAAAATACGAACAACACTAAGGCCATTGAAGTCGGTTCTTCACCATGTCAGCATGTTCCTCGTCTTTCAGACCTCAGTCGGGAGGCACCAACTGACGCCAAGTTCGGACTGATCAGGTCATCGGTTGACTTCCTCTTCTTCCATCCACATCAGGTCACACTAACAACACACGTCGCGGGGGCAGTGTGTTCGATTACATAACACGGCTTGACCATCGGAGCATGTTGCGTGAATTAATGGTGCTGAGCGATTCCTTTCCTGCTGTGCCGTAAGCGAAACATAAAGCACCCTCATCGCTCACGCGGTGTTCCCATCACACATGAGCTAATCTGCGAAGGCACTGGTGATTAGACACAACCAGCCTCCGTCCCTCTGACAGGCCACGTTTCGCAACCGTACTGGTGGGTTCAGCGGACAGCTGCATTGTAGACTATACCCTTCAATGCGAGAGTGATATCGCGCCGGTGCAGTAAGGGGTTAAGTTGCACAAAAATATGAGCTTTCACAATACGCTTTGCCACTTCATTTTCCATTCCACAGGCACTGCTGCCACTGCTCAGGTAGTTAAATTACTGGATGACTTAGGTTCAGTGCACGGGATGTCCCTTGCCAGTCTCGGAAGGAAGCCTTGAATTTGGACGGTGCAAAACATAGTCCGAAACAACTGACAGCCAGTACTGATTTGTTTAGTGTTTCTTGTCACATTTGCGAGCTGTCACGGATTAGGAAAATGTCGTCGACATACTCCAAGACAAGAAGTCGATCACCTGGGAGCAACTCCACACTTTGTAAGTCGTACTCACTACACGCTGTTTCCATGACGAAGTTAATGTGGAAAGGTGACGGTGAGCATATTTGCTTCGCATCGCTGGAGATATTTAAGGGCTGCGACTTTTTGATCCAACTACCTTAATCGCTCTGTTTATAATTGTTTTTTACTGATCAGACGGTGCCAACACATATCGATCCACCGAATCGAAGGCGCCTATGATGTTGAGGAACAAGACTACCGTCGGTCACCGATATAACTGGCGATGCTCCAACGTTCTAGGTTAAGTGCAGATGTGGCCAATTCAGTGTCGTTTTCTATAGAACCCGGTCTGATGTGCACGCGTATGTCTTTGTCGAGTGCCATTTAATCTAGGATGAACGACAGCAGCAAGTACTTCTAGGTTAATTGCGATCATACTGCCACTTCCATAGTTGTCGCTTTCTAAACGAGATTTTGCTCTGAAAACCGTGACCATATCGATGCAGCTCTAATCGATTTTGACAGTTTCTCGCTCTTGCTCTTTCACCAATAAGTCTCTTAAGTCGTCTGCAAGTGATATTCCCCTTAATTTGAGGATGAATGGAGGAACCTCATCTATTGCTCCGGCCTTGTACAATTTCTAAAGTCTGATCTCACGTTTGACTTCTGCGCGAGTTGGTGGATCTAAGCATCCCAGGGAGCCGGGTGATCGCGGGCCGACTTGAAGAATGTTTTTGGTGCCCGCTGTGTACCCAACTTGAGACTTCCCAACCCTGAATAGCTATGTGGGGCATCGATCAGTCTGATCATTTCGCGTAAACAGGTGCCAACTGATACAGTTTCGGCTTGTCCTTAGCGAACTGGAATGACGATTGACTAGGAGTTTTTGAATGAACCGGAGACGATGGTACGTGGCAAGGGTCCTTGAGATGGAGCCAATGCTGTTTGGAACAGCTGACTACTATTCTAGCTCATTCGTAACGTGAGTGCTAGAATACCATCAGTTAGCAAGACAATAGCTAAGATGGACAGTTGGTCCATCCTCAGCCTCATCGACTGGCCAGTTGTGCGGCACATTGTTAAGAGCAGTTCAGCTGGTGTGCTGCAACACTGCTGTTTTACGAATTACCCGAGGTGACGTGGGAAGATGTCACACCTCCCATTTTGGAAGAGATTCAACATAACCTTTCCGTGCCGAAACAAAACAAGGCTCTTGGACCTGATGACCTTTCTCTATCTTTGCTGAAAAATGGTGATGACTCTTTGTTGACTGGGTTTGCTTGTCTATTCAGCACGGTTTGTAACACTGTATAGGTAACTTTATACTGACGACCCTCGGCTTTAATACTTACCTTCAAGAAGGGTCAGCGCACCTTGTGCGAAAATCATACAAGCATTAACCTTTTTACGGAACTTTTCATAGGTATCATTCTGCGACGAATTACTGATTTTCGGGAGACCCGAATCATTAAAAGCTAGGCTTACTTTGATCGTGTCAGCCAGTGGCCGAAAGGATTGCACGCCTGGCTTGCAATCCTGAGGTCAGCGGTTCGAACTTTTCCAGGTACTGTTTGGCAGAAAACCCTCTGTTGCTTCACTTGGTATTTGCTAAGTCTTAACCGCTCACGTTGGTTGGGTCATGTCCTCTGTATGCTCGTTGATGGTCTTCCTTGTCATGCACTATGCGCTGTCACTGAACTTAATTCGAGGAAACCGCGAGGTAGCCAGTGTATGAAGCGGCGTAGAGGATGCTGAAATTGGCTGAGACTTGGTCAGACTGGTGCGTGTCGTTTGCGTCAATGGGGCCTCGGGATGGTTCACATCACTGGTTGGAGATCTTATCATACAGCACTTCGTTGTCTCAATTATCTGAACTGGACTCACTTGCTTTTTGATGACTGCGTTGACCACTGTTAAAGCTCCATCTATATTCACATTGATTCCAAACGATAAAGAAACCGATCGTGGTGAAAACACCTATATCTTTCCATACGTATACTTTACCAAATCCAGGTCGCAGCAGAGATCGCATGTAACACACCAAGCACATTGCGATCGATCGGAAACTGATTTGAAGGTGTGAAGGCAGACAGTCAGGTTAGTATATGGTGACATGGTAGAATAGGTCCCAAGACAAACCAAATCCTATGTGATGCCTCCAGGAAGTCAGTGGCTTCTTGCCTGTTGTCGTTGACGCTGTCGTATGTCTTTTATCGTCACACGGCTGTCAATATCATTTTTGCGGTCTTGTGTCTCACACCTGTGTTTTACTCTTCGTCGTATTATACATAGCCGCTTTTAATGACACCTCTATCTACTTCAGTAGTGTGAGTACAGATAACTATCCGAGCTAAGTTGATTCGTTTTATTCACGCTTTGTGCATTCGAAATGGTCAGAGTTGTGCTGCTCCTGCTGTGATGGAACACAGCGCACAGGCCCAGCGGCGCTGAAACTCAGATTTTTGTACGACAGTTTAATTTCGCGTTACTTGTATTATCGTGGTGTATCCCTGGATTGATGACTTTGCAGGAGTCATCAACTAAATAACCTGGTTTTCATTCCAACAATACAGGCGGCCGGAACCGTATTGCAGAGGATTGCCTTAGTCCAAGAAGATGGAATCAATAAGATTGAGACTAGCATATGTCCGCTTCAATATAAGCTTGATTATTGCTAACCGCACTTTATGCGTGTAGTGTATTTTCCTAGTAGCTGGAAACCTTGATCCTCCTCTTCCGAAGTATTATCTACCGCCGATGAACCACTAGGTTGTTGGTGTCCACTCAGATAGCTAGCTGTACATAGTGCGACTCCCCTTGTTACGGAAAGCCAGCATTCAAGCCGAGATCCGAGGCCGCAAGATTGGATCGATCTAAATTTGGAGACTGAACTCAAGCATAGGTCGAACGCGAATCTATGTTGGGTCAGCAGCAAGTAAAACCCCGAACTTGAACTGTTTTGTGTTGCTAATTGAATTTAATTACCATCTCCGATGTTCACCTGCTGATCGTTTTTCCGAGCTTGGTAAAGGGATCGCATACGTTTCACCACCATGCGAGGCGGCATCTTCCGTGCGGTGATAGGCAGTGTATAATCCTGCTTATTAAATCGTCAGTCCGTTAACCACGGGCAGGTGACTTTTGAAGGTGGCAATTTCGATTTGCGCCACGTGATCTCTACCCATTTGCTTCTGCGGCTAAACCATGTCTTGCGATTCGCCGGAGATCTTTCTTTCTGAGTTGATGGTACACGGGGTCGATGTCGATGCGCATGTTGATCGAATTATTAGAGGAGTACCGTGCTTCTAGGAATTCTC